TGATCCATAGACTCCTTACTCAATCCATCCTTTATAAATGCTATTTTATCTTCTCGATTTTTGGACACGAACCCCACAGATTTACATCGTGTGTCACAAGTCCATCGAGCATATTTGTAGCATCCACCTAATCATTTTGCTCTTCGTTTCTTTGCAAAAGTACTCTTACCCATACCTGGCATATATTTGTATGAATTTGGAAACTCTCTCGACAATCGAACTTTTGCTTCAATCAACCATCGAATATCGCTTGGAATATCATTAATCATTAACACCCTCAATCTTTCTATTCGAGACCGATAAATCCTTTTTATGATATTTACTGGAACAAATGGATAATATTTACGGATATTTGAGAGTGCTAAATCCATATGTAAATTCGGACCTTTGTTCAGAAATATTGAATGGATTGACTGATAATTTATAGAAATGTTGCGTATGCTATACGACTCTAAAAACAAAGAGTCTGTCTGACAGAAAGATTGATACGCATGTGATACGATTCTGAATTTAAAAATTGTGGGTCATAATCTGCACTTGAAGTGCATTTATTGTCGCCGAAAGATGATGTGATATGTTTAATGGGTCACAATGAATTATTGTGATGTTTACTGATATAAATGATGATAGTTTGAATGATTAATTGATTCTTTGTGATATGAGATACTTTGTTCTCGATTGGTGAAATTATTACTGGCTAAATATTTGTGAATCGATTTTTGATCAAACTGAGTATAAAAGGGGTACGATATATATGGGCCCACTACCCCTCCATGTGTGCTACTAGATATTATGGATCCACTAGATAGCCACATGTGTGTGATCCGTAACCTGAAGTTACGAGATAATTTGATCAAAGAATGTGTATATGACACGTGACCAGAAGTTACGAGATGGTTTGATCAAAGAATGACACAAGATGGCTATGAAAGAATGAAAATAAGTATCATATGAAAGTGATTAAGCTAGTAATATAATTAGCTCATATGATGAACTCGTGAAAAAATGTGCACATTACAAGTGATATGAGTTTAAAGTCCTCCTATTATATGTTGAAATCGAGAATGAAATGGAGATTATATGAACTTCCCTCAAGAAACTCAATACTGAAAATACAAATCAGGGATCTGTTAAGATGAGGGAGAGAATCAATTATTGAAATTTTGAAAATGATATATGCATCACACTGAAAGTGTGCAAATCATAAACTGAATGATACTGATGGTGGTGAAATATATGAAATGATATGATGGT